AAATCATACTCCTTAACAAAACTTCCACGGTTTTCGTGAATGGTAAGTCCTCTAGTTTTTGGGTACTCCTGTCCCCCCCTTCATATTCACACTGGTCTCAGAAAGTTGTGCTGCCATTTAATACAAAACTCAGATGACAAGTGAAATCATAATTAGCTGGATAGTTGACCACGTCGGCAACATGGCTGTAAAATAAGAACTGACAGCGTCTCTTTTACATTTTGGGAAATTTCTGATAAGCTGTAGCAACTTCAAATAACCTTTAATTCAGAAAAAATTGAAAACACGAACATTCAAATTACATTTAAATGAAAGAGAAAGTTATTTTCAGGTTTTGAAAATAATTAGGTCCTCATGAAAGGGGAATTTCCACTCTGCGAAAATTACATACTCTGGGGGAAAAACCCTTTTTAAAAGTACTTTCACCTCAAAACAAAAAAACATACAACTTGCTGACCCAGAGGAATAAAATAAAAAAGTGACCAACAAAACAGGAAAGCCTTAAAGAACAGAAATATTCAGAGGACTCAACAGAAGACAGTGCACAAGTCAAATACTATTCCATAAAACACAGAACGGAAGAAAGACTTTTAAAAAAAACATACAGCAAAATCATGAAAAAGGTGAGAATGTACAATAAATAATCGTAATGTCAGGATAGACAATTGATTTCTAGTACCTTAAAAGTTTGAGGCCCTTTTGGTAAGACCTGAAAACGAACATTAAATTACAGCATGCAGAACATGGCATCATTCAAGGAGTGCCTACACAGATTAAAGGCTGGCGAGGTAGGAATAACACAATGAGTGAAGGGGAGGGGGAGAGAGAGAGAGAGAGAGAGAGAGAGAGAGGGGGGAGAGAGGGGAGAGGGGGAAGGAGAGAGAGAGAGAGAAGAGAGAGAGTGAGAGAGAGAGAGAAGAGAGAGAGAGAGAGAGAGAGAGAGAGAGAGGGAGGAGGGAAAGACAGAGTTTAGTTTTAGTAAGAATTTTACGGCACTTGCAACACAATAAGGTCATATAAGTGCTGAAGAATAGAGTTGTTACCTGAGAGTAACATGCAAAAAAGAAAGGAGGAGAGATAAGGACGACAGATGTTTAATAGGAAAGAAGGAGCAAATCACACCAGAGCACCCGCCAACCACCCACGGAGAGAGAGAAAGAAAATTAGAAAGGGAGAGAGAGAGAGAGAGAGAGAGAGAGAGAGAGAGAGAGAGAGAGAGAGAGAGAGAGAGAGAGAGACAGACAGACAGACAGACAGACAGACAAAGACAAACAAATTGAAAAAGAGACAGAGACAGACTTAACCCGAAAGCATTTCATCAGTTGATGAACTATTACATGCACATAATGCTATTTTTTATAGGCATAACACCCCCCCCCCCCTCCCACCCACTAAAAAAATGAGTTATACATAATTGCATTCCATAACATTGTCATCATTATAGGTCCTTATCAGGAAAGAGCATCGGTCGACCTATTCAAGTGGTGAGCCACACACGTGTTCAAGTTGTTCGAAACAAGAATTAATCTGATGACCCATCCACTCGGGTGATTCGGATTGTCTCTCTGTTTAACATCTACGACTACGACTTTTGCGATACAGACTCGACACTTAACGCCAACATAGGAAGAAAAGAAAAGAAAAAAAGTAGACAGCAAGGCTTGGAGAAACATTAAATAGGTCATACCAATAATTTCTGCAATACACCTATTTAGTTTTATAGTTTTAGTAGGAGTTTTACGGCACTTGCAACACAATTATGTCATATTATAAGTGCCGAGGATTAGAGGTGTTATAACTAGAAAGTAACATACGGGCAAAAGAAGTAGGGGAGATAACGACGATGGGTGTTTGATAGGAAAAAAGGAGCAAACCACACAAGGGCACCCGCCAACCACCCACATACACTTGTTTGTGTCCTGGAGCTGAAAGAGAGACTCTCACTGGAAACCAGTATTTACTTTATAGTCTGGCCGCACATTCCCAAGATACTTATCGCATGAATAAGATAACCGTTATCCCGAGAGCAACCTCCATTTTAGTTTTAATTTTAGTAAGAGTTTTACGGCACTTGCAACACAATAAGGTCATGTTGTTGTTGTTGTTGTTATCGATCCAGCAACAGCAGCGCTCTCGCCCTTCTGTCCAATGC